TTCATAGTTTGTGAAACTAATTAAGGCATTTGAAAACAGCTCAAATAAAAGATAAAATCATTATACAACATATTCGAAGAAAGTTTTAAAGTCACCTTCTCTTAAAAGGAGGGTTTGTTTTATATTCTAACCTCTGGGACATAAACGTGTCCGCAGGAAAAGAAGCGCTCATATGTGGCTTGAACAACTCTGATATGAAATACAGCAATTATAATAGCCAACATTTTTCATACAGCAGACGAAAACGCACAGAGCCGGCTATTTTACGACATCATAAAGCAGCTGTCAAACTCGACCACTAAAATGATTTATTTCATCAGAGAGAGCGCCAAATGAGCCAATGATTTGAAAAACTCAAACCGGACGTGACGTCAAATCTCGCAAATAAAAAAAATAAAACACGATTCGTGTTATTTCCGGACGCTTCGTTGCTTGTCACATCAGCTCGATACAGCGTCCCACAGGCAGAGGTTAGTAGACCAAAAACAGAGCAGCTGCCTCTGACAGTTAAAACACAAGGTAGGCTAAGCCTTAAATATGTTTCCAGGCTTACGCTAGAGCTTTACTCTATGAGATAAGTAACGTAATAATAAAACCTGCTCGCCAACTCATAGCATTGATGCTAGCTGGCTAACGTTAGCTCATCTAAAAGATGCCAAGGTTGCCAGGTCGAAATATGAATAACAGCAAGTTATATCGCTGTTGCGATGTTTTGGTCTGCTGGAAGTGTGGGTTAGAAAAAGGGGTAAGCTTTTAATTAGTCAGGTATTAATGGGATTTATTGATAGCGTTGTTGGTGGTTGGTTAGCTTGTTGGAATAGAGAAGCTTTAAAGAGATAACGTAGTTCACCCGAATATGAACAGTCATTGTCAATTTTCTCTCCCTCATGTTGTTACAAATTTGCATGATTTTCTTTCTTCTGCGAAACACAAAAAGAGATAATTGTCAGAATGACAGCCTCAGTCATTATTCACTTTGATTGCATCTTTTGTGCATTAAATGAAAGTGAATGGTTACAGAGACTGTCGTTCTGCCTGACATTTCCTCTTTGCTCCACTGAAGAATGTAAGTCATACAGCTTTGGAACAACATAAGGATGAGTAAATCATCACAGAATGTTCTTTCTTTTTGTAGGTGAATTTTGCCTCTGCTGCTTTTATCCAGTGTATTTTAGTGGCCATCTATTTGCATTGCACCAAAATGCATTGCTTATATTCATAAATGAACGTTTTGTCATATTGTTAATGGGGTAATGACAATGTGACATCTATAGCACCTCTCTGTCTCTTATTTTGCACATGCATCCTTCTCTACTAACACTCAAAATATTATGTGTTATGTGCAAATAAACCCATCATGATATGACGTTAGTGCCCCAAGGTGTTTGCCACACA